CAACATGTTGGTCTTGTTTGGCCTTCTGAGTTGAGCCTCATGTCATGACGCTTGTATTACAGCTTTATCATTTCCTTTCTTTTTTAAAAATAAAAAATGTTAATTCATAGCAGGGCTTGACTAGCCTTTTTAGAGTTTTTTGTTGTGAGTATAGTCTACCACACCAGCAACATGAGGACCAGCAGAGAATCTTTGCCGAATCGCTTTCGATCTCAATTTGAACCTGATCTTCCTCCTCCAGAGGTTGTAGATGTTGTCAATGACTCTGGCTGTAGCAACAGGTAAATTCTCGCGATCTAGGCCTTATAATACTCTATGGCCTTCCATACTCTATACACGTGGTGACCTACTCTGAAGTGAAGTTTGTTCATATTCATTCATGAAACGGAGTGTCTACGTACACGGTAACCGGGCACCTAGCCTCAGTGTCTACATTCAAGGTAACCGGCAACCGGGCATGTAGTCTCAGTGTCTTGTACTATGTAGGCCTACATGGTAACCGGGCATGTAGCCTCAATATCTACACATAATGGTAACCGGCAACCGGGCACGTTGTCTCAGTGTCACGTACACGGTAACCGGGCAGTTCAGAACTCCAAGTTCAGTTTTTGTCTTCCGGTGTTGCCTTCATCCCCACCCCTCCCCCGACTGTACCTTTAAAAAAAATCAATAATCCCCCCTTTCCGGTGCCCTCTATACTTCGCAGCACATAGGCTTTGAATGAACTTTAGTGACCCCCAACCGGTGCTCACAATGTGTTACGCACTCTCAGATTCACTGACTGGTCACGATGGCGAGCCCGACAAGACGCTTGTATGACTTTCTTTTTTTTCAGGAAGTGACAGCACAAGACAAAATATTGATTTTATTTTCATTCCGGTTTACCGTGTACATAGATGGTGAGACTAGGTGCCCGGTCAACGTTTACGTAGATATATTTGAGACTAGGTGCCCGGTTACTGAGTACGTAGACACTCCGTTGATTCCGTTCATGAAATAGTAGTAAGAGTTAAAATAATCAGCAAAGCTTTGAATGGAGTTACAGTGGAAACCTGATATAACAGGGATGGTGGGAGTAGAGAAAATGTCCTGTTATATCCGATCCCTGTTAAATCAGAAATGCAAGGAAAGTAAGCATTTGTGGACTAATCCAGCTGTACTTATTCATGGGTACTTTCCTTTGCCACAAGTACCCACGAACAGGGGTTTTGGCTCCAACTTTCTCCTTGCCTCATTAAACCACATCAGAAAAGCTTGGTCCACATAATCTCATCTTCTTTCGATTCAGAGCAAACTTTCTATTGGAGTATGCTGTCACTATCTTCTCTCTGTCCTTGATAATGGTGTGAATCAACCCTTATGGAATGCCGAACTGACGACAAATCTCTCCCAGTGGAGCTTGCTTTTTGCCAACTGCCTGGATTATTTCGTGGGTTTTTTTTTGGGGGGGGGGGTCAATTGAAAGGCATTTTCTCTAGCGCTTGACATCGTTGGTGACAGTAGACACATTACGCGTGCGTGTTGCTAGGTTTCGGGCTAGATCGAGGTCTGCAGTCTGCAGCACACCGCAGCCCTCTCTCGCTTCACAGGCTGCGTGTGCTTGCAGTGACATGGCTTGCATGGGCTTGCTCCATCACTTCGTTACTCTCTCTCTCTCTCTCTCTCTCTCTCTCTCTCTCTCTCTCTCTCTCTCTCTTACTTTTTACACATTGTTAACGAGCCTTTGTCCCTGCTATAACCGGTTGGGCTCCGATGAGGCCCTGTTATTGCCGATAACTTTTAATAGAGACAAAGAGTAGGAAAAATCAGGGATTTAAAAAATCCCTGTTATTACCGGATCCCTGTTATTACCGGGCCTGTTATATATGGTTTCCACTGTATGTAACTGAAGCTGCAACGTGTGTACTGTTCCAAAAATTAGTGAGCATTCAAGTCTTTGGCCTAGACTGTCAGTTTCCTATCAGAGTGTTATGTTTTTGGATTTTGTTTCAATTTGTTTGCACGTTTATCCACCCCAAATCATGTGTTTCTTAAAGCAGTCAGAGGCACTTGACAAGACAAACACGTGATGATAATTAGATGTACACGAAGGCCTTTATATATATGTGCCAGAAACTGAATTTTCAAAGTAGTTGTATGCCAGATTTATCTGTTCCATTTGAAAGGCCTATATCCTCTGGGCATTTTGGTACCATTCTTTAACCTCTCAGTCAATTTTTAAGAAAATGATAGTTGTTTAAAATTTGATCAAATTTGTTAAAGTCAGTCACTGGCTGCAACCCCATATTTGACAGACAATAAAAGAGTACCAAGAGCACTAAACATCTCCACATTAACAGAGTACAATCACTATAACAAATATATGGGTGATCTTGTAGTTCCGTTCGTTAAAGTCCACGATCCATTTGTTTACGTCCAGAGAAGAAATCCAGAAGTCTTGATGACCAAATACTATTTGAATTAGGCTACACAAAGAGCAGGGATGCAACCTAACTGCAAGACATCTCCATATTTTTGTTAGGTCAGTGGGGCCTTGAAACCCCCCTACTCTTGACTTTAACGAACAAAACTACAAAATCGCCAATATATGGAGCCTAATTGTTTTCAAGACTGTGAGATCATTACAAATCAGTATTTGTCGCCTCAAACACGATAATCTGTCTTTATTTCGACAAAAACACTGAACTTTAACCCGGCTGGCGCCGCACTGGCCCCAGCAGCGAGCGAGTCGGCTCTATACTGTAGTGTACCCCGCGTGCGAGGTCACATGCTTTCCGAGTCTCGCGGAAGGATTGATGAAAAATAATTCCAAGCTGATTACTTTATTCTGATAGGAAATGAAGTGATCTTTTAAACTTTTAAGCCGGTATTTTACATATTTTGTGTAAAAAGTGGTTTTTAAACATTTTGACAGTATTTTTAAAAGCTTTATATTTAGACGCCAAAGGCCAAATATGTATCACGGGAAAGCCCGTTTAAAGCTCTACAGTTCTCTGCCAATGAAACAGAAAAGACGGTATTTAATCATCCCTCGTTCCGCGAAGTGTTTGAATGCACGCATGTCAATTTTTCAACCGGCCGACCATGCACTCTGACCGCGAGGGGCTTCGCTTTCGTCGGCGATTCTCCAGCTCCTAATAATCGAACATATAAACAACTTACAACATTGTAATGAAGAAAAGCTGAACTTTTACTAGGTGTATGGCATTTGGTGTTTCATAGCGAAAGAGCAAAGAAACAGCGATACCACGCGGTCGGAAGGCCGCGAGGCCGTGTTTACGCTACCTACTTTATATGACAATATGTAAATTTGGCATCACTGTTCTGATGTTATAAAGGTTCTTTGGCCTTTTTTTTTCTTGCAGACAAAAGTGTATACGATACGGCATCCTGTACCAGACGTCTAATACTGAACTATCTTTTACATGAAGCTATTATCTATACCATGTCAACGAGCACCTAGCACACCTCTGTGATTGGTCCAAATATAGATGACGTTTTTCCACCATCTATTTTTGTCGTTTTCCAGGGTTTCCCTCAAGATTCTTTGGCTTGGGTTCCCCTCGCCAGTAACTGTTGACTAGATCTCGGCGTGTTGTTTTTTTCTTGTGTATTAATTTGTGTTCTGTTTTATAAACAATCTCAGCAATTCTCGTTCCATAAATTTACCTTCTCCTCAAAGTTGTACACACCCAAACACATGCACGCGCACACACAGCCCAAGCAGTCGGCGATGAAACCTAGTGACGTAACCCATCACCATTGATGTCAGATCGTCGGATTTTGTAGGCAAACCGGAATTTCGAATGGTCCGAACAAGCTTTGCCGGAATCTCACTGGCATCGATCGATTGCGAGTTTTGCGACGCAAAATAATGTTTGCACGGACGTGACCAGAAGCTGGACTCCCACTTCATGTTTCCGGCCTGGCTTCCAGTGGTTTTGTTTACTAAAGTGATCGTGTTGATGTGAATCTAACTGTCAAAGAGAAGCATTAGTATTAGAAATCTATCTAGATCTTTTCTGCAGTGACAAACAGCTCATGTTTAAAAAAACTAGTTTATTTCTTTAATGTATTTCCATACTGAAACTAGTGGAATTTTTTGCATAGGATCGACATTTTCGACGTTTGAAGTTGGTAAGAGAAGAGAGTAAGTCTTTGTTTCGTGGACCAGAGCGACCAGGCTGAACAGATGACGTCTGCCCGTTTCAGCCCACCAGACCTAGACCTAGATCTCGACCAAATCGCTGCAAAATGAAGTCAATTGAGCATCATTTTCTTGAGAAAACTGGTTCAAAAGCTTTAAAAACGTGTGAAGCTGGTCTGAGAAATCAATGGAATTAGCACTGGTTCGATGTAAAAATGCAACAAAGGCGTTCCATTCTCTGCGCTGATTGGTGTAAGGTTTCCATTTCAGGAGAGTGCTACTGTACTTCATGTGATAAGCCTTTGATGTATGGAACTAGGGGAAAGAAAGCACTACGGCTTCAGGCAAACAACATGCAGGAATGTAAAAATTCAGGAAGTCGGTTTGCAAGAAATCGGGCTGTTTAAACACTGGCATCCATACCCATTGCACGCTGAATGGCAAGGCGGCCCGCCATGGTGAGATCTAGTCAACTGGCGAGGCTTCCCCGGATGACGGCAAAATTAGATGGCGGAAGTACGTCATTTGTATTTGGGCCAATCACAAAGGTGTGCTAGGTGCTCGCTGTAATTTCATGTCTTTCTTTTATAATGTGAATGCGCATTGTCTTGAGACTGGACTTAATTTTGTCGATGTATCTTCAAATTGATGTTCAAATCACATTACTAAGTGAAGTCAACTCTCCTTCAAACAAGGCTGGCTCTTTTAGTCCATACCTACGTCTCATTCTCTCTTAAAATTTGTCCACCCTATACTTTAAACATTTAAAAATTATCAATTAGTACATTATAATCTTTATTGATGGCCCTTTGCTAATAGAAATATATTTAATTTGTAATAATTTTATCAACAGCACAAATGGGGGTTTTAGCACTGAAGATGACAGTCGGTCAGGGCATGACCAGGTCTGTTGCCTCATTGACAACAATGAAAAGTGTCAAAGACAAGCTGGGAATGCAAGCTACAGCAAAAGGATACAGAACCAAGCTCGCAAGTTGAAACTGTCAAGAGATGAAATGGTAAAAGTAGTTAAGAATTTTGATTATGTTTCTGTACTTTACTCATATTTAGGTTTAAGTTGAGTGCAGTCAAGCACGCTGAACAGATTTACGGGTTCAAAATTTTTTCTTGTAACACACATCATGCACATTTAAATATTTAAATCATATTCACCTCTATTCGGACTCGAGTCTGATCAGACTTTTAAGTTATTTGGACTCTAGCCCGAAAATGGGTTTATCTATTCGTCAGACTCAGGTCCGAAAAAAATGTTTTATTTATTCGGACTCAGCTTCTGTGTGAGTTATGTGAGTGTACGGAGGTTACATGATATTACTGTGGTCCGGTGATTTTTCGTAAAACCAGAATTAGAACTAGAATTACTTACTTGGACTGTGTAAATGTGTCAAACGTCAAAAGACTGCACTCTTATTGCCCAAGGGCAGTGTCTACGTACACGGTAACCGACAACTCAGGGTTTACCTACACGGTAACCGGCTCCAGGCACCACTACCAGTCAACAACGTCATGATTACTTCCACCACCACTACAGCATCAGCGTTACTTCACAGCATTTGTCTTTCCACATGTTAAATTTCATTTTGTTGTGTGTTATAGTTTTTCTGTAATTAATTTTTTTTAAATCACATCGCTCAAAACCAACAGCCGTGGCCTCTTCCCAACACCTTTTCCCCCAGCAAGCCAAGAGTGGGGGATCGCTGTGTGTGATCTCATTGGTCGACATACAGTCAAACCTGTGTAAAATGGCCACCCATTGTCAAGGAGAAAAATGGCCGTATTATAACACAGGTGGCTGTCTTAGGCAGGACTGATCAAAATGAAGAAAACAAAGCATTCTCTTCTGAGGTCCAAACCGGGGCTGATCTCAGGCTTTAGACTGTCGTAAGGGTTATTCAAAAGCGTTTTTTTTTTTTTTTTAACGGAGGGGAGGAGGTGGTGTTAGAACGGATTTTTTGTGTTGCTTTTTGTTTGGCTTTCTTTTTGTTGCTGATTTTTTGCAAGGGTGAAATAAACAAAACATTTTGTAAGTAAGATGATGAAGACCGAGTGCCATTGTAAAACAAACACTCGGGTCACCACCACTCAGAGAACGAGCGGCGCTTCTGTCAACACCCAATTGTTTCTTTATTACAGATTAGGTAAACAAAACAGTGACCAGTCACCTCATATACGATTTGTGCATGGGTTGTGGGCGGGGCGTATAGGTTATGACAGATCACACACTTCCCTCACCAGTAGTTGAAAATTTATTGTTAGATTTTGGCCTTCTCATTGCACTGGGGTTGTTTGCCATTATTGTATATAATAAAGCAAAAATAAGAACTCCGTTTCTAAATGAAGAAGGGTAATTTAATGATGAAAATAATATGAGGTCTGCCCTCTCTGGCTTCACTGACAAGACTAAAATAAATCATAATGAGCATGAGTACATGTGATTGAAACAGGAAGGAGGAGTGAGTAAAGATCACTAAGATCAGACAATCTTTGTTGTGAGGGTAGATAAATAAAAGTACAATTACAGGGACATAATTCAACATGTTAATATAGGGACCAACAATCCAGGATTTATTGTTTCCCTTCTGTATATTGATAAAAGCAATCTAATAGTCTAACACCCCCACTTAAATCCTGAGTTGTTAGGATTAAACAAATTCATAATGTAGTAATACAAATATACTAACATGCACATTGATAACTGTACGATTCTTGGAACTTGTTAGGTCCGATTTAACAAACTCAAAAGTCATTTGACTATTGGACCGTATAAATGAAGGATTATAACAAAATCTAGCATAATCTGACTGCTAAATACTACAACTACAAGGCAAAGTCTACAATTCAAGTTAATGGTTACAGTTATGAACTCTGCTTGTTGCATGCTGAATCTGATAAACATCATTGAAGTTTACAAGGCAACAATCGTAATGATATACAGTGAGTGATATGGCAGTGATAGATATAATAGATAGAACAATGATAAATAGAACAACAATGATAGATGATAATCTAGACTTTGTCTAGAAGATATCAATGACAACATGTATAAAATCATATCTGACTCTAGTCATAGACTCATTCATCATGTCATAGCATAGATAGTCTAAGCCTATATGGCATAGGTTCATATCTAGATCTAGATATATCAATCATAGTCTTAGTTATCTTAATTAAGACATTTCACTCCATATTTTAATTCATTGTGTCATGGGTCTCTGATCCTCATTGGATGTCAATATTTAGTCGCCCATGAGCAGGGCTTTGAATTTCTGCACCTTAACCCGAGGTACAGGCTTTGTGAAAACATCTGCCAGATTGTCTTCAGAGGGTACATACTGCACTTTCATTAGACCTTTTGAGATTTCATCTCGGATAAAGTGGTAGCGTATGTCTATGTGTTTAGACCTCTGGTGCTGAACAGGATTTTTTGACAGAGCGATAGCTCCTTGATTATCACAATTCAGTGTGAAATTACTTAGATCTAGATTCATCATGTTTGTCATGGCTGCATCATTTTTGGTTACAAGCAAAATATCATCTACCCACACAAGGACAATACACATTTCATTTGTATTATCTGAATCTTTGACATAAACACATGTGTCAACTAATGATTGTGCAAAGCCATCAGCTATCAAGTGTTCGTGGAGAAGATTGTTCCAGTTTCTTCCACTCTGTTTCAAACCATAGAGAGATTTCTTTAATCTCCAGACAAGTTTTTCACCTTGTCCATTGGTTTTCACATAACCCTCAGGTTGTTCTACATACAGTTCGCAGTCAATTGGTGCATTGAGATAGGCAGTTTTAACATCCATTTGATGGATCATTTGGTCATTTTGGACTGTACATTGAACTAGCGTCCGGACAGACGTAATGCGTGCCGTAGGAGAGAATGTTTCTTGAAAATCTATGTCTGGGATTTGAGAAAAGCCCTTTGCCACATGTCTGGCTTTATAAGTTTCTTCCCCATTAGGGTTGGACTGTACATTGAACAGCCATCAGAGCGCCGTAAAACCTTATACTACTACTACTAGAACAGCCATCAGAGCGCCGTAAAACCTTATACTACTACTACTAGAACAGCCATCAGAGCGCCGTAAAACCTTATACTACTACTACTAGAACAGCCATCAGAGCGCCGTAAAACCTTATACTACTACTACTAGAACACCCATCTTCCCCTCCCACTGCTTTCCTGCCTGGAGGTATTGTTGTACACTCAAAGGTGTCATTCTCTTCCAAAGCACACATCTCGGTGTCCATGGCCTTTTGCCACTTATTAGCCTCATCACATGATATGGCATTATTGTAGCAAGTAGGTATGTGATGTACATTGTTGTAGCAGTAGTGTAAGAAAGTGCTATTCAAAAAATCATTTTCATCACAATCATCATGGTCATTTGTAACAATATAGTCATCAAGATACTTAGGTGGGATTCTGTTTCTTTTCCCTAAACCTTCTGTAGCCTCTTGAGAACTCTGACTTTGTTGGGTTGTTTTATTTTCTTCAACTGTTACAGTTGGGTTAGTTTTCTTTTGGGTTTCATCAGGCGTGTTTTTGTCCTGAATATAGTCTTCAAAAGGAATTTCAACAGAGTCAGGTTTCTCAGAGTCAACATTGTGAAATTGAACACATCTGATCTTCTTAACTTCTAGTGTTTCAGGGAAGTAGATCAGATAAGCAGGGCTTCTTCTGTCATACCCTAGGAATATGCCCTTCACACTTCTACTGTCAAGTTTCTTGGGGTTTTGGACCAAACAGAAACATGTAGAGCCAAATGTTTGCATGTTAGCTATGTTGGGTCTCTTGCCAATAATGTGTTGAAAAGGAGTGCTTTCAATTTTCTTATTGAAGCACCTGTTGCGGATATATGCAGCTGTCAGAACAGCATATGTCCACAGATTTTTGGGCAAACCAGATTGCACAAGTAAACATCTTGCCATGTCAAATAATGTTCGCCATGCCCTTTCGGCTTTGCCGTTTTGATGCTGACAGTAAGGTGCACTTCTCTCATGGCGAATTTTATTTTGGATCAACATAGAGGTAAATTTATCTGAAATGAATTCCCCCCCTTGATCACTTCTAACTGATTTGATAGAGCCATAAGGTACAATATCAGCAATGTATTGTTTGAAAGCATCACATGCATCACTTTTGTGCTTTAGAAAATAAACACAAGTTAGGTTAGAAAAACTATCAATACAAACCAATGCATATTTGTGCCCATCAATACTTTTAGGGTCAATAGGTCCTGATAAATCAATATGGACAAGTTCAAAAGGTGCACTAGCACTGATATCTAGAACTCTGCTCCTAGAGTCGAGTCATTTTTGCTTGGGGGCACACTTCACATTTAAAGTTATCAGTCTTATTGGTAATGACCATACCTTCAACTTTACCTTCCAGTTTCAGAATGTCCTGGGTGTTACAGTGGCCTAGGGCTTCATGCCACTGCTTCAGCGATCTCCTGGAAACCTTGGTGGTGTGTTGTAAACTGTTCAAGTAGTATAGCTTTCCTTCTTTGTAGATGTCTAGACATGTTGAGCTGTCCTTTGGGTAAAGCTTCCCGGAATTTTCTGTAAAGATGATCGTAGCCCCTTTCTCTGTTGCGGCTGTCACAGAAAAGATGTTCTGGGCAAACGATGGAACGTATAACGCATCCTTGAGAGTGATGGAGCACAGCTTTCCTTTTGAATCACAAATGTCAATTTCTGCGTCCCCCTGCCCTAAAACAAGGCTTCTGTTGCGGGTGCCGTCAGCGAGTTCAATGATGTGGTTCGACGACTTAAAATTATTATTAAAACGTTTGAACTTACTTTCGTCGTTCACGATATGTACGCTGGCACCACTGTCCACGAGTAATTTTCCGAAGTTTACAGAATTATCCGTTGTTACTCTTTGGTCCACACAGAATGTATAGTGTTCTGAGTCTTCACTTTCACTTGTTTCTTTCACTTTTCTAAGTTTCAAGAGCTTCCTACAATCGCCTGTTGAATGTGTTTTGTTTCTACAAATTTCACACCACTTCTGTTTAAAATGTTTTTGTAATGTCTCACCTGTGCGAGGCTGGCAGTTCGAAGACGTTGGTGGTTGCATCCTCCTGCAGAAGCTGGTGTCGTGTGTCGGCGATTTGCATCGATGACACCATCGTTTGTGATTAAATGACATCACGTTTGTTGACGAACTCGTCTGTGGTGGTTGTCGTCGGCTGATCTCATCGGTGTCTTCGTGATTTCGAAGTGCGACTTTGAATTCTGAAAATGTCAGAGTCTTGTCCCGTTGTGTCATTACGGTGACGAAAGGTTGGTATCCACTGGGCAAGCCTTTCAGGACCATCGCGACGAGCAGGCTGTCAGAGATCACTTCTCCGGCGTCCCTCAGACATGAGGCAGCTGTCTCGGCACGGATGATGTAGTCCGTCATGGATTCGTGCTTGTTCTTGACGAGCGAAGTCAGTTGTGTGTAGAGAGTTATGACTCTCGGCTTTCCTGTCGGCCTGTAGTGGTTACGCAGAATTTGTAAAGCTTTGCGACCATCGTCTTTTGCGTCTCTGATGATTAACGATAGAGACCTGTCGTCCAGCACCTGGACTAGTTCGGCGAAGGCTTCCTCGTTCTTGTTGTCGTCTACTGGGAGATCGTCTTTATCCAAGTCTTTAAAAACTGAGTGTAGATTTCTAATTCTCATGAATCCCAAAAACTTGGTTTCCCAGAGGGAAAAATTCCTTTCATCTCCTTCAAATGAAATTCTCAGAGTTCTGGTGGTACTGGGCCCATAACCTGTTGCACTGGGGTTGTTTGCCATTATTGTATATAATAAAGCAAAAATAAGAACTCCGTTTCTAAATGAAGAAGGGTAATTTAATGATGAAAATAATATGAGGTCTGCCCTCTCTGGCTTCACTGACAAGACTAAAATAAATCATAATGAGCATGAGTACATGTGATTGAAACAGGAAGGAGGAGTGAGTAAAGATCACTAAGATCAGACAATCTTTGTTGTGAGGGTAGATAAATAAAAGTACAATTACAGGGACATAATTCAACATGTTAATATAGGGACCAACAATCCAGGATTTATTGTTTCCCTTCTGTATATTGATAAAAGCAATCTAATAGTCTAACAAACTTGGATAAATATAATACATTCGTTGGAGGGACTAACAATAACGACAGGTGAATGGATCCAGACAGCCCATCCACAGGGTCAGGGGCCGATTCAAAATTTATGACAAAGCATCAGGCATTGAGTGACCACGACTGTCCCTGCAAAATTATGCAAATTTAGATGGCCAAATTATTCGAGACAAATGCAAAATTATATGCAAGTTACCGTAACACCATTCATGACATGTTTTGCACTTTGTCAACAGAAATTTTCATGTCTTAAGTACAGAAGAATTGAAAACAGAACATTATATTAGCCTATATCAGTATCGTAATTTTTTGTTTATTTTTGGAAAGAAAACAATACACATCAGTCCGAAAAAAACTACCTCAAAACATCTCTGTAACTTTCAGCTGTACAGAGGAAAAAAAGATGTAAAAATTAAAAAAACATCCGGACCAGACCAACACACCAAATAAAGGCAAAGTATTATTATTTTTAATGTGTTGGGGTGCTGACAGATACGCTGACAAACGAATAAAACAACTGTAACATAGTAATAGTAGTGGTGATGTGCTGATAGACAATGTGCTGATCAATAAAAAAAAAAAACCTCCCAAAACTGACAATTCCTGAAAATAGACCAGAAACAGTGTGTTGTGTTGATAAATTGTCGTTGATGTTCATTTGCTGATGTCTTGGTCGCTGCTGTATTATTTTTTAAAAATTTAGATCTAGTTCTATCCGTCTCCACTTTGTTATGCGGTGAACATTGCGGGTTGGGTCGGGTGCGTTCGCCCCACTCGTCGCCTAAAAACAGACGTGTTTGTTTATGAGACGGCAAGTCGGGCGCGATCGGCTTGTGCCCTGATAGCCGCTTTGCATCCCACAATCTGGCTAGCCGTCCGCCCCGACCAGACCCAATCCCCCAATAGGTGAACATCAACTAGCGTAGGCCAGTTACCGGAAATGGATAATTATGGACTTTGTGCTCTTTGCGAAATTAAAGAGTTCTGTTTTCGTTGAAAAAATCCTTCGCTCTTTTGACAGTAAAAGTATAATTGTTTTATGAAAAATGAAAAAAAAAAAGTAAAAAGAAGCGGGGAATCCGAAATTATGCAAATGTTGCAGAAATATGCAAGAAAAACAGGGGCCGCACAATTGCATAGTCTGACAGGGACAGTAAATTTGACCGTGGGTTGATAAAATAAGGTGGCCGCGGCTGCGTTGGACAGGTGACCATATTACACAGTTAAATTATATAGAAAAAACGCAAGAGGGGAAATGGAAAGTGGCCATTTGTACAGGTGGCCGCATTATACAGGTGGCCATCATGGCCAGTTCAACTGTATTTAACTTTGCACCCGACAAGGTCAACTCAACTTGAACAGTACGTTCATACTAATGACTAATGATGCAGGGAGGGCCAGTTATATAGATTTAATAACTGGGTATTAAAGCTCACGTCTCAATTGTTATCATTATAATCGAAAAACTCTTCATAAATGCTAGAAATATTAAGGAAGAAGGGTAGATCTAGTTGTGTAGTAATTGCCTCATATATCGTGAAATCTGGGTGTAATATTCGGTTGTATAAATCCACCGATCTATACTCTGCCTTATAGACCCCTTTTTCGTTGTGTCGGAAGTGATGTCATGCTGAGTTCGATTCAGAGTCTGAATATAATATTTGTTTAATCAGACTCAAGTTCGAATAGTCACTATGTTAAAACATACACATTGCGGAATTTTGACAATTTATTGTATAAAATTTCCTGAGAAACTGGAAGTTCGTAGAGCTTGAGATCAAACTTTATTGATTTGATAGAATTCTACTGTGTCTTGTGTTTGCAAGACTATAAAGAAGAATGCCATATTATGAGCATAAATCTTTCCTCACTTTTGAAATATTTATGCAATAATGGTGGATTAGTGGGGTGGGGGTAGGGATTTGAACTGAAGATGCTATGGTGGGCTTTGCTGTGCTATTTTTTTTGGTTGTGAATTGACCGATGAGAACGTCAATATCTTACAAAGCATGAGAACGGACCTGAGTCGAATGGATGCTACTAAGATTTTTATCTCATGCTTACTGCCTTTATGATATTACTCTGTGCTCATAAATATTTCTTTTTCTTTCATGTGTACGTGTAGAGTCCCCACATTTATATTTGTGACTATCACAAGACCCAAATCCAAAATGTGAGGACGAAGAGGAAGAGGAAGGACAGTGAGGATGATCAAGGCTTCCAAGATGGAGATGATGAAGCAGTTGAGGTAATAAATTGGCTTCACAAGTTGAAAGGAGAGGTTTTTGATAAGTGTGTTCGTTCTTTCCAGTGGGCCACCCATAGGTGATAAAATCAGGCCTGATTCCCTGGGAAATTAGAAAAAGGGGGGGGGGGGGCAAATGACCATACAAGAAGGAAGGCATTTCTTATTTATTATTAAAATTGTTGTGTGTTCCACATCAAACCCAAGAACTTTTTCTTTTTTTATGTGCAGTTGTCTCAACTCCTCAGATTGTAGATTTTTTAAAGTCTGGGTCCTCATACTTGAGGTTCTTTAGTTTGCAAGTGAAATCTTTCCTCACTGAGCAGTGTTTGCTGAACTGGGCAATATCGCCTACTAGTGGGCAATTTGATAATTTTGGTGGGCTGTGGGGATCTCTCAGGCTGTGACAGGCATTATTTAGTGGCCCCATTTGGAAATACATAGTGGGTGGGTGGAATTAAAATTTTAGCCTCTCAAGGGTGGGGAAAGTGGGCATTGGCTATAAGACGAACTACAAACATAGTCATAGGGTATGTTTGAGTGAGTAAATTGATTGTCTGATCTGGAGTTGGGACACTCTTCTCTTTTACTAGTTTTCAAAGGTAGTTAATGATATAATATATAAATTTATGTTATAAATTCCAAGTTTTCTCTCCTGTACAAATGTTAAAACGGATATATGTTGATGATGATTAAAAATCCCCTGAGAATCTCTGATTGTTTCTCAACATTTAAAGCTAATATTTTGGGTTTACATTCCTTTTGGGGTAGAAAGAGGGGTGGGTGGACCCAGGAATCTCGTTCCTTTTCCTGACATTATGGAAACAGTTTGGTTAACACAAAGATTGGTAAAATAGTTATTTGACTTGTTGTATCTCCATTTTTGTAAACAGTTGAAAATGTGACTCCTTCTTTTGCTCACTCTTTGTTATGAACTTGCGTCAATAGTTGTGAACACGTTTCTTCTAGCACCCAACATAATTCTAAATTGGAGGAATTGGGGCAGTTTGTGTCTGAAAACCTATCGTCTGTATCAATGGAAGTGGCATGGAGTGGGAAAGTTGTGGGAATTTTTTTCCAAGACAAACAGATGAGAGAGGTGCAAATCTGCGCCGACAAATTATTAGTAATAGACCGGCGGCGTGACGCCGAAGAATAGCTTCTGATCTATTGACCGGCGCCACGCCGGAGAATAGCCACTTGCTTATTTATTTAGGTTCTAGATCTAGACTTGGCTGAGTTCCTCTGTTCGGAATCGGGTGCGGATTTCTAGTTCAAGGCCTATTCCTATTCACTTGTTCTACAAGATCTAGATCTAGATCTAGATATATTTAGATTTCTAGATCTATATGGAAGATTCGTATTCCAATTCTATTGTGTTATTGTATCAAACTCTATTATAGCAATGTAGATGTAGGCCATATAATTATGCCTATTATGCTCCTTGTTTGTTTTGGAGTGTGGTTTTTAAATTAAATATTTTTTTAAATTTTGGACTTGTGCTGGTCTTTTTACATGAGGCCCATTGCAGGTTCGTTTTTGGGGTAGGCCTAGGGGTAGGGTTAGAGTTAGGTCTCTTCTTTATTGTGTTTGTTGGAGTTGTCGCTCGTTACTCGGAAGTCCTTCTTTATGACACCAACAAAATTGGGGGGGGGGTGCGCAAAATTTTCAGACAATCTGGTTGAGGCTCACATGCAGATCTATTGATTGTCTTCATCAAATTTCAGATTGACTTTTATCAGATGCCAGTGAACACACTCCGAAGATACAAAAGACACTACAAACTCAATACAAGACCTGGCCTCAGCAAGGCACAATTGGCAGACGTAAGTAGTAGATATGATTTGTACTATTTTTACTGAGTTTTGTCTTTTTGAAGGTAACGGAAACCAAATTTTCAACATAGCTGTACTGCAAATTAATCTGGTCCACTTGAAACGCATGTGTCTCCTTAGAATTTTGGTACCATTCTTTTATCTCTCAGTCAATTTTGAAGAAAAAAAGTAAGATAGCAGCCGTTTTGATAGAATCAAAGTACATGTATCGCAAAATTTGCTAATGAGATGTAAGGCCAATGTTTGACAGACAATGAAACAATATCTTGTGTTCCAAACTTCTATATGTTAACAGAAGACAATCACAGTAACATGGTTATAGAGCCTACTTTTTGTCAAGACTGATATCATTACAAATCAGTATTTTATTGCCTCTAAAATGCGGATTTGTCATTATTTGGACAAAAACTCGGAGCCCTGTCCCAGCCATTATGAACATGGACACCTTAGCTGAGGGCTTCAACTCCATACTGTATTATTCCCCTTTTGAGGTCAACAACTTTTCAAGTTTTACAGAAGGATCAATGCAAAATAATCCCATGCTGAAGATCTTTTTTCAATAAAAACTGATCTTTCTATTGGTGCCTTTTTTTAGCTGTTTTTTTTTTTACAGTGCTTCCAATCTTCAGTATTTTTACGGAAATCTATACTTTCTTAAAGTTCGGTACTTGCTCCCCCATCCTTATCAACTGCATCCGTAAAAGAGTGCAATAGCATAAGGCTATATTTACAGTAATTCTCTCGGCAATAAGTTAATGTTTTACAGACTTGCCAGTGTATGCCAGATTGCACTTTTCCCGCAACTGGCAATTATCCCCGTATGCATTTATTGTGGGTTGGTGGGCAATACATTTTGACTGACAGATTAGTCGAAATCTGACTAGGCATGATAACAAACTGTGTGTGCCAATTCCCTCCTTTCTTTCATTCACTATTTCTTTCTATCTTCATGTTGTTGCTTGGTTGGAAAGTCTGTGTGTTGATAAAGGAAAGCAGTTATGGGCAGATTGACCGGAAATGAATAACAGCAAAACCCAATTCCAGATCCAGTAGGTGTTCCCAAGCTCAGGTGCCAAATCCAAATCCTAGTTCTCATGAGTAGTGAGTATCCTCCCCTACTTGAGAACGCTGTGCTGTGCTAGGTAGCAGAGCAAATGCAAATGCTGCCTACAGTACCAATAACATTCAGGATCTCGTGGAGCGACGGCGGCATAACATGGGTTTAGAATCACGTGCACCTTAACTTCACTTGGGGGGGGGGGTGTTGTAGGTTGTTAAGAATACACTTATAGTCTCCCAGGCTACGTTGTACTTTTATTATTATTATTAAAGTAGTCACATGTGATTTGAGTGGTTTCCTTTGTCTCTTTTGGGTCATAGGCCTACTAGTTTCTGGAATAAAACAAAAGTGTACAGTACATATATAGCCATGAAAATTGACATGAAAGAGAACAGAAAAAGAACAATAAAGGTGTTGAATTATTTCTTAATCTTCAAATTTACTTTGTAAGGTATAGACCTACAGGGTGAGTTTCTCAGTTGTGATAGGCAGATTTTCAAGTAACTCTTTTTCTTTCAACTCTTCCTGTGAATCAGTGTCAGACAGCTGGAGAAATACTTGATGGGATGTAAGATTTGGTCAACACCTTGCTGAAGAGCTGGCTCCATCAGTTGATCATATCATGTTTCGCAAACACAACAAATAGTGCAGAAAAAAATCAGTATGTTGTCATCGAATGGCCATGTTTGCAGCCATTAAAGCTACTATTTTTAATCCAGAGTCTAAGCTGTGTGCTGTTTTGCATTTGTGTTCTATTTCTGTAAGCATAGGCCATTTTTTAAAGACCTGGATGTCACACTGATATTACGGTACAGAGGGTTGAGAGTGTTAAGTAAATGTGTGACAAAAATTGATTTTCTTTTCATGTGTAATAATAGTTTATCATGATGTGAGGGAGTCATTTTCTTTCGCCTCGAAAAAGAAATGGACTTACTTCTACAATAAAATATACAATATAGAGCACTCAGATTATTATAATTATAGAAATGGGTAAAAGCTTGAGGACTGGAAAAGAACAAAGTATAGGATGTGGGATGAATGACAGAGAAAGTTGTGAGGTATTGTGACCCATAAATTTTGTCATGCTCGCAAAAGCTTTCTACACCAAAATCTTGTGTCTTGTTAAAATAGCCTACTTGATATGGTTTATTCCAGGTCAGTCGTGTGGTTATGTCTTCTTGTTCCCCTCTCTTACATAACCTGTAAGTAAATAAAGGAGTCTGCTTTGAAATATATATGGCTTAACATCTTTTGTGTCAATTTAAAAACATATATTTGTGTGGATTTTACTGAAAAATGTTGATTTAATGTGCAAAAAATGTAAATTTTCAGTTTCCAAGGACTCTTAAGCTATGGAAATTACCATACCTTTGTGGCCTTTTTCTCACTAATTTTACCTTTAAAACCAGAGGGCCCCCACCTCCTTCAATCGCAAATATTTCGACTTTTATTCAAGATAGATGGGTTGTTTTTATTTCTTTGAAAGCTAGACAAGTGAACGAGCTGTAAGATGATATCCATATCTCCACATACATGCCCAAAAATTGATGAGCACCTGATTCCACCGAGTCGTGACACAAATGAAAGCCTCTTTTCAGTAATTTTTTATCTTTTTCTTTCATTGACTTTGACTTGATCGCTTTTCAGGCTGTTGCAAGTCATTTCAAGACCATCCCAGTTGTGGAAAAAGACACCCTTCAAATGTTTTTCTACACCACAAAGACAAAGAGATTTGAGAACAAAGAGGGAACATCATAGTAACTGTGTTGTGTTCCACCATTTTAAAAGTTCTCTTTTGTGTTTGAGTGTTTGCTTGGTATTTGTATGCATGTGGTGTGAAGGAACGTATGAGTAATTCAAGAGCACATGAATATATCTACAGGGTCCCCACCAGGTCGGGAAATCGGGGAAAAGTCGGGAATTTTTAGATATGTCGGGAAAAAGTCAGGAATTTTGTGATGGGTCGGTAAGTCGGGAAAGGATAGGGCCTGTGTAATATTAGTAGTGTAGCTATCGAGACAGTATGGTTGATGAATCATGAAGTAAAAATGAAGAGGAAACGTAATTGAACCACTATGACGGCAGGCAGAAGTGTATGTGTGACACCGACGCTCTATCGGGAAGAATCAAGATATACTTTCGCTTTCGTTACCACCCAGAAATTTTCCGGTAATAGTGTGATAGATAACGCAACATTTGTAACATGCAGGTTGTGCATTACAAACACTGTGTCGCCTTGAAAATAAATCAATATTAAAAATGTGTCCTCTGCTGTCACTTGTGAAAAAAGAAAAGAAAAGAAAGTTATATAAGCATCTTGTCACGTTCGCCATCGTGACCGGTCAATGAACCTGTGAGTGTGAGTACCGGCGGTCTGAGCGCTGTGAAGTATAGGACTCTGGCATGGCGGGGGGGGGGGGGGGGGGGGGGATATTGCTTTTTAAAAAATAATATACACTCAGGGAAGGGGATGGTTGGGGGGGGGGGGGCTGAAGGCAACGCTAGAGGTCAAAAACTTAACTTGGAAGCAAATTTTTAGTATTTAATATTTTGAGAACTAGCTTACTACTGTATAAGAGCTCTCTGCAAAGTGCTCGTTGGTGCAGGCCTTGTGTGGAATCGGGATCTGTCTTGCCTTGTTATCTAAAGTGTTCGCGTTTCATTTGATGGGGTGATTGTAATTTATTATATCTATATTTTAGCTTTCTGTTCAAGATTTGAAGATTTTCTGTGTCACTGCATCTTGCCCTCCCCCAGTAAGTTGAGTAAGAGTCTGTTCTTACACCTCTCGCACTGAATAGGTCTACTTGAGCCATTAAAGTTATTACACTGATATTACTCTACTTTGAGTTTGAGCAATAGTTTTCGTCTTCACGTTTATTATATGAATCATGACACCCAGACTGGTTATTGACAATCAATATTCTAGTTCTAGGTCTTTTCTCAGGCTCAAAACAGGATTCATTTTTTAATAGGGTCTATAGTTTATTTAGGCTAATATGAGGAGGAGAAAATATAGGTAAGAAAGGACTGAAATACCAAAGTCACACAAGATCCCAGTGCAACACTGACATGTTGTTGACTGGATATATTGTACCTACATGTGTGTGTGTGTGGTGTGCGTGTGTGTGTATTCACAAACATATACATATATCATATATATTATATTAGATATAAATGAAGCACATGCTGTCATTGTTATGTAACATGCCCCTGGAAAATGGATGAGGTCCCTCCCTTGGAAAATTGAGAAGCTGGGTTGGCAGTCACCCAACATTATAATCATCTATTGTTTGAAGACTATACTACAAAATGTACATTTGCATTCATTTAAAGACATTTTGACTTTTTATCATTGATAGATGTGCTTTTTGGGGGATCATTCTTGACGCGCAGCGGCCTGATTTTTCCCTTGAATTGGGGTCTTGAAAAAAATTTGGGGGTCTTGAAAAAGATTTCCAGGATTTTGTGGGGACCCTGTATCTATGAAAGTTTAAGAATGGTAGGCCTACTGGTATGTGTGTTGGTTGATTTAAATGAAAACATTTTACTGCCTTTTTTTTTCTTTTCTTTTTTAATACTTCATAAAACAGCTCATAATTGCTGGCTTTGTGTAGATTTGCATCCTGGAAAGCTAGTATTACCCAAATAACCTTGTGCTCAGACTCAAAAAGAATGTGTTTGGCTTACAATGCAGTGTTTTAAAATTCAGTTGCGGTTTTGTGAGCTATCCACCTTTTTTGTATTGCTTGCAAGAGCTCCCTCAGTTTTCATAGTTATATCATTGAGCAAATGATCTGGAAATGAACTCCACAACTGATTACTCTTCATTGTCCTCATTGAATCTCTCTCTTTAAAAGAAAAAAAATGGTGGGGGGGGGGGGGGGGGTCACTAATAGTGCAAATAGAATAGAAAAGTCATCTGGGTAACGTCTGTCCTAAGCTCAGTTTCTATCCAGTCAGGATGATGAAAAGGATCCTCGGGGGAAATGTTCTTCTCTAAAATTGTCTTCTTTCACCTCCTTTCCTGCTCTGTAGTAATCTTCTGTTGTCTGCTTTCATCGCCTCTTTCTCCCCCCACCTCACCTCCTTTGCCCCCACCTTTGGGATCCTGACTCTTTCTGCAGCCTTTCTACTGCTACTCCTTGGATCCTTCATACTGCTGTCTTTTAGCTGCACCCCTGATCTTCTGGTAGGAAAGATCTACACCTTACCTTCTCGGACAAGGCCGAAAATTCTTGGAAGGCCCATGTGCATGTTAAAGATTCCTTGGTGATATAAAATCGATAAGAGTAGGCCTCGGCCGCTACGCGGGCGAAATACGAAATTTCCTACGAACTGCAAAAGTTTAATTTGTCCCGCACGCTCATATGACCTTATGCAGTTGTGAGCACTGTAAACACTTACCGGGGAAAAAAAGGATCCTCTTAACAGATTGCACAGAGAGCTATTTAATTAATGATGAAACGAAAGTTGTTTTGTCTTCTAGCAAAAGTGATATTGTATTGTTAGGAAGATTGTCATGACCGTCTATCACTTGAACCTTTTTTATAGAGCTTATGATGACGAGAGAGAATAACGACTGTTTTGCTCTCTTGTCACCAGTTACCAATGCTCTAGTTAAAAATAAATTATTATGGTGATGTTTAGCAAAATGTCGTAAAGCGTTTTGTTATGATAAAAATGAGTATGGCGACTTTTGAGTTGGATTAATACTATCGTTTTAAGAAAAATAAGCACAAAAAAAAACAACACCCACTGCAATGAATAAAATCTATTCTTGATTGTTTTTTCTTTTTTTACCCCTTCGTTGCCCAGGGTTTTTCATACCTAATATGCATACCTGCCAACCCTACAGAAAAAATCGGTATATTACCGACTTTTTGGTCAAACTGCCGATCCACCGATTTTGAGATGTAAGCCACCGACAAGTGCCCCCCCATGTCTGCTGTATTGCTGTAAAATTTCAGATCTTTGTGTGTAGTAGGCCTCCACTTTACGTACCAATTTAAAATTACCACCCATCCATTGATAAAACACTAGAGCTGGAAACTAGATCAGGGACCCAACACGCGAGTTGCCGGCATGCAAGAGGCGAGTGATCGCAAGGCGGCATGTGATTGACTGCCTAAAACCAGAGGGTTTTACAGTAATTCAATGCTAAAACTGCTTGAACTAAGCAGGTTACCAATGACGTCGCGTGTTCGCCAGAAAAACGGAATTGGAGTCAGAACTGAAAACATTAGTTCTAGCTCATTTATCACCTAAATTTTCCTCATGGCGTAAACGTAAAGCTGTGCGAGCACTCATGCTAAGTCTACCCGACGTCTTAAAAATATTTTTCTCCAATTGTTGTAAACAAACTGATTTTGGACCTCAAAGGCCACACAAAACATTCAGAAAGGAAATTACAATTTTAGCAAGTGCGGATATCTTAAAGGAGATCATTGCTACATTTTTATTGCTATATCACACCGTCTCTGAGCAGCGTCCCATTGGGGCAAAGTGTTAATATTATACTATTATACGTATAAGCTGAATGTCGATTTTCTAAAAACTGAGGGCATGCATATCTTTTCAAAGTATGATAGCGTATAGCAGTCAAGCACTGATAACATGAGCACAGAAAACACAAAATCACAGATAAATTATACAATTTGACATTTCCCCGACTGATATCTTCTAAATTTTTCATTATCGGTTAACCTGAATAATGGATATGTCCCTAACACATTTGTCAGTCCCTGACATGTTTGAGTTATCCACGCCCTACGGTATTCCCCTGTTTTGCACTTGTGAGGGACCACACTTTCTTCTTCCACCCCCCCACCCCCCGTCCCCGACACTGCTGTCCTATTCTGTTTTACCATCTACATTTAGAGTGACTGAACAAACAGGCAGTGCATGATGAGAGGTCAGAATGTTGTGTGGTATGTAAGAGAGGCTTCTCTAGTTCTCCAATTTATTGCTTTTATGATTACATTTTTTTTTTGGTGTGGAAATGTTTTACTTTTACTTCTGTCTCTGAAAAAAGATTTTCAGGGTATTATTTAAGGTTTGTTATCAGTAAGAAAGGGTTTTGTTCTTAGCACCAATCATCAAAGTGAAAGTACAATATGAGATTGAATTTTGTTAATAATTTCAACTAGATTATGGTCTTTTACTTTGATGTAAAATATTGAAGTGGAAAAATCAAATGCTCTTTGAGACAGGAGACTGGTGCTAATGGTTGCTCGACCATGAAAGTTACTAAGAAGAATTACTACTGTGGACTTTGCAGGATGCTGACATTGCACTTTGATAAAAAAGATAATATTTAGGAAATATTACATTTTTGTATTCCCTGAGCTTATTCATGGAATGGGGGTTATAAACATAAGGGTCTCGGTCAATTGAGGTTGTGTTGGGAAAATGCTAAAAACATCTTGGCTTGGAGCATGATATACTTAGTTATATATGAATTAGGAATAACTCTGAATTAACTTAAAGCCATCCAGTCGCTTCATTCTTATACTATGTTGTGTATTCTCACCTGATGTGATTTCAAAGCGAATCATATAAAGAACTCTGTTTTTTTATACATAAGTGACCTAGACCCCTGTTTTATCCCTTCAGTTTTATTTTGTTGTCTTTTCAGTCTTCTTGATGTTTTCATTGGCAAAATCCAGTTGTAAAGGTGTTAAATGGTTACTGAAACCTATATTTCCTTTATTGTGACTTGAAAATGACATTTATTTTCAAAAACATGATTTTCCCCACTGTATGCTAAAGTGCTGGCCTTCTATTCTCCTTCTTTTTGTATTTTTTTCTTTTGTCTTTTCTTTTACTTCAAATTTTGGTTTTATATTCTGCTGATACAATAGATAAAAGTTAAATCATAGTTAGGAGAGAGGAGGATTCTGGGCCTTTAAAGCTGATAGTACACTGAAATATAGTTGTAGGATGCAGACAAGACTGGTGAGGCTTTTTTACAACAATGTTGAGAGAAAATCATGCTTTATTATGACAGTAATCTCTGCCTAAATGCATGCCTTGCAAAGGTATGCTCCGCTCAAA